AAATAGATTGTTTTCCAGGGTGAGTTCCATGTGACTTATCCCAGCAAGGATGCAATGTCCTACAAGGTGACTGACTGTGCCTCCATTTCCCAGAATCCTCCATGTCTCCTAGTCCCACCTATCTTGCTTCCCTATTGGCCAATATATACACAGAAGGACTTCCCCCATCAGGAACCACTTGACATGAGAATCTCTTTTTAATACTCTTTTGTGTTCTTTCATATTTCATGCATGGATAAACTATTCCTTGATCATCTTTACCTAAAATCTCTCCCTGCAACTTTACCCTGGACTCCCCAACAAATATCTGTGTAGTCTTCATATCCTCCTTTTGATTGCATAAGTATGTACCTATTTAACTCACTGTGTCCAGCTAGTTCTTCTGAAGTACACAGAACCTTGGGGTCATCCACTGATGACCAGGGCCCATCTCCCCAGAGAGAAGTGGTGACTCTTCCTTCTCCAACAGTCATCAACTTCCAATAGTTCATATGCTAGAAGTTCAGTCACAACAGCACATCCCAGGAGATTATCCTGGCTTTAGTTAATTCAGGTTTTGTGAAGGTAACCACAATTACCATGGTTCACTTGTGCAACAGCCATACCATAACCAGGGGACAGTATTTAATAACATTCCTTTATGTAATCTGGCTCTTGTATTCTTTCTGCCTCCTCATCTACAATATTTCCTGAGCCTAATGGCAGGGGCAGGTGGATTTAGATGTCCCATCTGTGGCTGAGCACTCACAGTTGCCTAGTGTCAGCACTTAGAATAGTTACGTGTTTCTACATTGAACACTACTCATTGAAAGTACAGGTTCCTCAAACCACTGTGGAGAGCAGTGCAGACCTGTGCATGCAAACATGAATATATGGAAGGAAGATTAAGAACATGATCATTTAGTAGAATTAGAGTAAGTCCTCCCCATGCACTTCCAAGGAACAATGACCACGTTAATAACAGGTTTTGAATGTGTTAACAGTACCAAGCATACATACACTCACTTTTGTAAAGCAGGTCTCAGATCCAATGAGGAGAACAAATGTTTAGCCCCAGGAACAGAACTGCAAGTATTAGAGCAGTGGGCTCATCATGCCTGACAGGAACATAGTATACCATTCAGGGTCCAGCCATGGGTATGATCACTTGTGACGTTTGCCTTACATCAGCCAGCATAACATCTTCTGGATGCTATGAACATTAGTCAGCTGGGAGTGGTTCCTGTTGAGTTGAAGACTGATTTTCCAATGACATGTAACAATCATGTGTAGCGTCTCAGCTACAGGGACGTATCATCTTGTTTTGTTGTGCAACCAAGAAGAGCGGAAAATCAACTTTATTATTCGGTCACCTTTGGGTCTGTCGGGATAATAGAGAGGTAATCTGTGTGCAATGCTGAGATTTTACTTAATGACCTATGACTTGGGAATAACATTTAGCAATATTTTTGTTTAAAATGGCATGTATTGTGTCTAGAGACAATAAAAAGCTTTATGTGATTTGGGAGGCAAAGTTCAGTGTCCATCATTTCAGATGCATATACATGTGCCTACAAAAGCATATCTCACTTTGGCTGATAAGATATTTTGAAAAAGCAAGAGAGAAGCCTTGATCTTACCTAAGAGTTGGGTCAAGGTGAACAAACAATGTTATTGGGATGCAGCTTTCTTTCTTTTCACCCCTTTGCTCAATGTGAATTAATTCTCCAAATCTAGGTACCATAGGGGAGGCCTGTGATGGCAGTTACCAGATTTTCATACGACTCTTTTTGTGCTCATCTATATAGAGAGGGCTGAACTGGCCTCATTTAGCTTCCTGAGAACAAGATATAGCTCCCAACTTTTGGCATCTGGTATCACATTAACTGGAGTCAGTTAGGCACTCTTTCACCACATGGAAACAGACAAAAGGAAGTTTAGAACAAGATACCCATATCTGAACACAGGACTTGTTGGATCCTAAGGATGGCTATGGGAGAACAGAAACGGTTTCTGAAAATGAAATCACTCATGCTGATTGAGCATGCTTGTGAATGTTTGTAATCCCAGCACTTAGTAGGTGCTGTCAGGTAGACCATCTTCAGTTGCATGGAATTTCAGTTCAGTCTTTGACTTAAGAGGCATGTCTCAAACAAACAAACAAACAAAAAATGAGCAAGAGAGAGAGAAATTGCCAATGATTGACACTAAATAGAAATATGATGTATGTATGTAAGTATTCAGTAAAATCTGGTTTCAGTCTCATTCATAGACACTTTCTTCATACCTATGTATTATTCACTAAGTTATTTTTGCATATATTCTGCCTGTCACAATCTGTCTAGCAATGCTTTTACTATGCTTCTAAACCTCAATAGCTACACCTAAATTCTTATGTTAGAATGTCACTAGGAGTGCTCTCATATTTCTAGTTTTATAATGACCTCAGTTATTATTTTTCAACATCATATTGTTTTTAATTATTTATTTTTCACACTTTATGTGTCAGCCTTGCTTTTTGTCCTTTGGTTTCTCAATGCTGTTCCACTGCATTGAACTCTTTAGCATAAGCTCCATTCTCACATAGTACACACTTTCTTGGTGATGGAGAAACAAGTGCTTCAGGTCAGACATTAGGTGTGGATGCCTAAAATACACAGCAATATTATGTTTGGTCAACATCATAAACCAGAATCAGGAATGTTTGGTCCTTGGATTAGCCATTCTTATGAAATCAGTGGTCTGACATTTTGCATTAGTGGGTGTTAATATATCAAAGATTTGTTTTAAATTTTTGTGGAAACTTCTTAACTATAAAGAAAATATTAGTAGATCAAGATCTCTTTAGCTTACGTTTGGTAAAAATCTAACTCAAGTCTCTGCCTGAAAGAAATGGGTATTTATCAACCAGCAACACTATAAACCACAACCAATTTATTTCTCATTTGCAATAGAAATATCAAAATTCCGTCATCATCCTTTATTATACCATGTTATTAGTCTATCACAGTACATATCCAATATTCTCACCCCATCCACCTTCCAGAATCAATGACACACTCACGAACACACATGCACATACATACATGTAGGAAATTGGAGATATTCAACTGAGGCTAAATTAGAAAGTTCTGTTGAAGAATGTCAATTTTAAATAAAATATTCCATATTCTTTAAATTATGAATTTCCTTCAATATAAAATTATACTTTATTTACATATAATGTTAACATTAATTAAATATATGTTCTGTGCCTAGAAAAACACATGTTTTGTGAGCTACAGGAAAGCTGATATACACATCTATTGAATGTTTCCTGGAAACTATTAACAAGGAGAAAACAAAACAGTTTTACATTTGAGATATCACTTTAGCATGTGCTGTGACTTCTGTATCACTTACAAGGGCTCCGAAATCTATAAGATGTCATAAATGAATCTATTTAAAGCCATTAACAAAACCAAGAATGATTGAAAGTATTAAGGCATGATCTCAAGCTCTGCTTACTCTAAGCTCAACCTGACCATGGTGACAGCTTTGAATTGACAGCTTGGTACCTCCCAGCACTGTGGTGGTATCATATAGGTGCCAGGGATTGATAAACTTTAAGATGATAGCTCTGCAACTTATCACAAGAAATTATTATGCATTCTGTGGATAAGTAGATGAGAAGGAGCTTGAAGTTTAAAACACAAAAGGAACGGAAATGGGGATATTAATTTTTTCCACACATATTGCATATATATATATATACACTAAAATTTCACACTTCAATTCATAAGTGCTCAAATTAAATTACTGATAACTGAGAAGCTTTGGGACTTTGGCAAACTGATTTATGTCTCTTGACCTCCTTGTCTTTTTTTTCTTTCATAAATTGGAGATCATTCATGTCTTATCAGCACTTCCCAATTAAGGTGTGATGTGTGATGAGCTCCCTTACTCTCTTCAGCTTTCCTTTGGTGAAACAGATCTCTGTTAACTCAGAGATCAGAAGATTAATCTGGCTTGCAGAACAAAAATGGAACTCACTCCAAGGTGCTTGATAGTGACAGAAGACTTAGTCCATGAGCAACGAACTATTTGAGGAACTAGAAGAAAGATGAAAAGATGCTCAAGAGTCCGACTCCAGACAATCCTCCACAAATAAGATGGTGTGGCAACAGAATGAGACAGTGTCTATGAAGTCATCTAGCATGTGAATACATTTAACATTTTGCCCACCCCTTGTATGTTAGTGTGCTTTACAAATGTTCAGTCATGATATAAAGGCTCCATATAGGGATTTAATGAACAAGAGAGTATTTTTTCACAACTCGATATTTAATATCAGTTGGTTTCTAACTATTGAAGAGTGTGTACCAATCCGTATCTGGGCATCTATTGCAAACAAAATATCATTTCTGTAAAATGTTGTAGTGCTGAACATAGCCTCATGAGGACATAATCTTCTCACATGACTACTCAGTCAAAACCTGCACACACACACACACACACACACACACACACACACACACACACACCATCTCTAGTTCCCACATACTCTTCAGCATTGTAATTCTGTTCCCCTTCTCCAGCCAGGTATGAATTGCCCGGTATAGCACCCTGGGTGTCACTCCATCCTCTTGACTACTAAAGAATGTATCCACAAAGACTACACTGACATGCATCTGGATTGGGGATGGATTCTGCAGAGCAATGGAAGTATTGCTGGGAATTAGGAAAGGCAGAGCCTGCAAGGCGGTGATGGAGGTTTGAGGTAATCTGTACTAGCAGGTAGAGCTCACAATGACAGCAGGAACAATGGCAACAATCATAATGCCCTTTGTTGTCTGTGGCAGGGTTGAGGGGTGTTAAGAGTCCGAAGCAGGCGGCACTATGGACGTGCTGCCTAGCTGAGGCCAATAGCAGGTATAAAGATGCCGGGGAAGTGGCTGGGAAATAACAAAATAAGAGGGAATGTAAACCAGTGACCCTTGTCGGCAGTGAAAAGCGGGAGATTATAAAACATTTCATACTAATTTCCATGGAGATTTCTTTAATTTAGCAAAGATTGCTTGCTGGCTCTGTCTGGCCCACTGCGTCCTCGGTGTTCCCGGCTGTCTGCTTCCCGGGGTTATTCTTGTGGCTCTGACGAGGTCTCTATCAGCTGCCATGCTCTCACTCTCCTCCCACTCATGCGTGGGATTCTTTTCACATGATGGCTTTATCGCGGCCGCTTTCCTCTTGATCCTTGCAAGCTCTTTCTCCTGCCTGGCATATCAAAGGAGATTTGTGGGTCAGTGAGCCAGCACACAATGAATGAAGTCATCAGCCAGTCGGGCACCGCCTTGATCATTTCACATTATGCTCTTGTTAGGAGCCACGGATGTGTAGTTCCTCTAATAACCAGACTAGTCCTTTAAACAAAGCAAAAAGTTGCCATTTTAGAGATGTTAAAAACAAAAGAATGATGTGCTTGCTTGTTAGTGTTTCCATACTCTCCCAAGGGAAATACTCCCAGTGTAAGAAAAAGAAACGGATGAATGATTTTAAACATTATATAGACTCCTTTAGCCCAGTCAGTATTCCAGGACATAGTTGACGATTTACCTATTAAACATTGTGCAGATTAAATCTGAATATTACAAGCCACATTTACACTCCACCCCCATGTTTGTGGGTGCCTGTACACACACCTATTAAAGAGTAGTTGTTTCGAGCATGCCAAACAGTGTAGACTCAGTCACCCTTATCACAAGGAGGGATGCATTTTCAATGGGAGTGTTAATCAGGGTGTGTGTGGGAAACTGGGGTTCTTGGGATGCCCAGGTGGGTTAGGGAAGTCTGCAAAATGAAACAGGATCTCAGGAAAGTGGGGTTTGAGAGGACTGGCCATTTGTAGAACTCACAGGATCTTAAGACAGCCTCTTCCTCTCTCCTCTCACAAATGTTTCTTGCTTCATCTAGTTCTCTGAAAGTCTGGTAATGGGCACAACTCCTAGGGCAACTAGAGCTAAAGCCCAAGGGAACAGCTCCAGTGTCAATTCTGATGGAAAGGAAAGAAAGCCAAGTTAATTTTGATGGAAGTCTCTTCTGTGGCTCTCCATGTTTGTAGTCTGCATCCCTTCTCCTCTTTCTTCTTGAGAAGAACTTCATTTTACGTTGTCCTGATCATACATCTAGAGTACCATTCACATGTTTTTTCTTTTTATTAAAGACACAGTTTTCATGAACATACTTCAATTTGCCAGATCCTGAAAGATCAAGGCAAGTGTCAATGGCTTAATTATCTAGAACAAAGTTCCATCTATGTCAAACTAGTTTCCTCTTAAACTCTTGTCCTATGATTAGGAATACATTTTCAACATGATGATGTGTTTTGGAGCACTATGAAAGAAACTCTAATAAAACTAAATGCATTTTAAACTCCTGCTAAAACAAACAAACAAAAAGCAAAATGAAGTTTCACTGAAATCATTACGATTCTTGGGACCTACGGAGTTTAGCATACAAGCGACTTGCATACCTTTCACAATATCATGAAAGTAGTCCAGGGTAGATAACTACAAATACAATCTCTTTCTCTAAGGGGTCTCATACTGTGGCTTATACCATTAGTATTAGCACTTGGGAGACTGAGTCAGGAGCATTGCTGTGAGTTCAGGGTCAGGCTGGGTTACACACCAAGTTCTAGGGTGACCTACAGGGTAATATTGGTGATGTTCAATACAGTGTTTTCATATCTGGAGCAAAGGAAACAAAAACACATCACACCGAGGTCACACATGGTCTCATAAGCCCCTGTAAAAAGCCACAGCACCTCCATAAGATGAATTATATGGCCATCACTGATAGGACAATAATTCAGAGAAACAGGAACTATTGTGCAGTTGTAAACAACTAAAATTATCTCAGTAATTCTTGAATATTTAGAACATAACATGCTTTTCTAATAGTCTCTATTACAAGAGAGCTAGATTTCAACCTCCACCTGATGTTGCAGAGATGTTTGACTTTTATATTACTATTACATTTTAAGAATATTCAGCATTTCATTTATTCACAACACAGGATGTAAGGACTCTTTAGCTCACTACTGGAATATGAAAGCATTGTCCTGTCTTTGTGATTGGATTTTTATAAATAAGAAAATCATGTCATGCTTAAGAAAATGCCATCATAGTCACTTGCTGCCCATAACTGTTGCTGACACCATTACAAAGAGTTGGGACCTATAATTTATCATAATGTTTTTAAATAACCATATATTAAAACTCATCGTCCTCACTAAGGAAACAAGGGAAATCAGTTTCCTCTAACATCCATATGTGTTGCAAGCCAGACATTTAGAACAAGACATGTCACCTTAAGTAGATATATTCATCTGGACATGGAACACACATATGCGATGACACAATTTTGGAATTTGTAACCTTTTTTATTATGTAAATGGTCATGAGCCACTGAAAAATGAAACATAAATTGATATGAAAGGAAAAGTACCTGAATCTTTTTTGCTTGTTTCAATTTGTTCTCATTAAGTTCCTACATTGACTGTACAGTTTGGTCTCCTACATCACTTCTCCAAAATTTGAGATTAGTTTTACATTTAATTCTGGGCTTAATAACCATGTAGTCCTAGAGGATCAAATACCACCATCCATAGTTAAAGTTAGGAGGGATAGTAAGAATATGTCATTAATTTCATAAATATGCACTAGTTAGATTAAGTGGTATCCAATGCTGTCAGCATTTAGCAAATGCCTGCGCATACACTAGATTACATTAACCAAATATATTACTGGGATATTAGATATTCATTTTGTAAGAAGATTTTCTAAAACTGATTTCTTCCTCTTTGTTTAAGAGTTGTATGGATTGTCAAGATAGCAAATATGAAACAGGGATTTTACCTGACTCTTAGTACCCAGACCTGACATGTCACTAGTCTTCAGTTTCAGCACTTCCCACATACTCTTCTTAATGGCAGTTAGAATCCTCAAAACACATTTTCATTCCTCTAGTAATAAGATTCAAGTGGAGGTATAAACCTGGATCTGTTTATCAATAGCTGAATGCAGATAATATGGCCAAAGTGATGTCAGCTTTCAAATAAAACCTTAGAGTCTTTATTCTCATTTGCTTTCTTTGGGTAATTATACTTTTATCAACTCTAGAAATCTGAGAGGTTTCTTTTGATTATTTTTGATAGTATCTCCTTCTTGCGTGTGTTTCTTAGAAGCAATGATGGGAAACAAAAAAACCTGAGATTGAGAATAATTGAGAAGAAACAGTTATCAACAATCAAAAATAGATAAGGCATCATCATACAGGGTTCTGATGAGCTGTCGGTAATATGTGCTTTAACCCCTTTTTCTTACTTACTTCTCCAGTTCCTAAAAGTATTTGTATTATGTGAGCTGATAGGACACAGGGCAGCCAGACTGTAACTCTGCTGAGAAGCTAAGAACAAACATATGGTCTAATTTGTCATGGCTATGAATAGAGCCTTCCTGAAGATATTTTTTCTAACCCAGGGCTTCTCAACCTTTGTGTCTGATTATTCTCTGTTGTGAGGATGTCCTGTGTGTTGTATGATTTCTGGCAACATCTAGTTTATGGACTCACTTCTGTTGAGACAACAAAAACTCTTTCCCTAACTTATAATATAAGGGAAGATTGCACAGTGACTTTGTGATGAGCAACACTGCTTTGGATCACTTCCTTCTATTCTGGTTGATAATTTCTCATCTCCTCCCCTGCTTTTCTTAAATCCTTGTCTCACAATGGTTTCTCACTCTTCAGCTCTAAGGTAAGAAAGTCCCAACTCCCGAAATCCTGGTTAACATGGAGAATTTTAAGTGTCCCACTTGGTTTATTTGTAGTGAGTGTTCTATCACAACCCTTTATCCTCCAGAAATAGCTCATTTAAGAAAGAAATGGCCTATAAAACTTCAGCACCTAGGACAGTGTCCACCATGGTGGGTCTGGGTGGGTGTGGGGCCACTCTTAAAGAGGATGCTGAGGCAGAAAGTGTCTGAGATTAAATTACTGGCAGGTGTTACAAATACCATCTTCCTCTTTGGACCTGACCCAATTCCAAAACAATCTGTGTTGTCTTAGTAAATTCAGCCAGTTTATCATTGCTTTCTGAAACCTACTCTACAGCTCATAATGAAGAAAGCAATTTTGAATGTGACTGCCTGCTTTATTCTGTCTTTATCTTCCCAAAGAGCTCATTTAGAAATTTGGGTTGATAAAAATGTCAGTCAGGCCCATTGCTTTTCATTTCAATATGGCGAATTTCCCTGGTTCTCATACCTTGGGGAAATGGTCACCTCAAGAGGAGGAGAAAGCAAATGGAGAACTGTCCTTGTGCCAGTGACTCCACACCATTCTCTAGCCAATCTGCTCATAGAGAAGCAGTTTGGCAGGCTACAGGCCTTTCTGTGGGTGTGCACCACAGAGACTTGCCACAATAGCAGGCTTGCACCTCAGCACTGGCTCCTCTCCTGCGTTTTAAGGTTATTAAGATTTTTCAGTTCTGTTCTCTCTCATTCTTCTCAGGGTGGAACATTTTAAAAGAAGAGAAATGATTCTGATTTGGTGGTTTTCAGACAACATGGGTAAAAATTGAAAACATATGGGTGTATGGACTCTTTTTGTCATTTGTAACGGCCCCCAGGCACTGAAGAGAATGATATGCAAGCAATCTGAGCTTTCCCTCTCAAGCAGGGGCCTCTCATTATTTTTGACTATGTAAATGTCTCCACAGATGATGTACCTTAAGACATGGCATATGAGAAGTCACACATCCATGGTAAATAAAGCATAAATCCATGATTATTAGTGCATTTCTAGTATTTACACATTTTTCCCCACTTGTTTATCAATTGACAAATAAGCAGCAAGTAAGTCAAACTGAAGGGATCCATAGGGTAAAGATGAGCTGGAGGCTTCAAGGGCATGTTCTTAGTACTGTCACTTAGCCCATGTTTTCATATTTTGTGCCTCTATCTCTCTTAATGTGTCAAACACTTGAAGGGTTAAAAGTGAAAGCAAGAAGTAGGTTATAGATGCAAGCTCTCCAGAGTATTCTTATGTTCATTCACTCATCTCATATGAGGCACTAAGAAACCAAGACCACATCCATGTTTGAGACGAAGCATAGGCAAGAGAAGTTCTTTAATTTCCCTAAAGATGACTTACCCTCACTGAGTACCTACTTTTTACCAGCCACTGAGCATTTTATTTAATGAACACAATGATTTATGTTTCTCTATCTAAAATAAGAAGGCAGGCATAAAACAGAGTGGAAGACAATAAGAATATTTTATTTACTTGTCTGATAATATTGGGAGCAAAATGCATGTGATTGGTGCTGGGTGTTGGCACTGCTGTGCCTGATTCTTGTTCTGGAGAGCTCAGTTAGTTATGAGCTATGTCTAAGTGTCAAGAGGCAGCCTGCAACATGGACCAGTAACTAGCATGTGAAACGGAATCAATGGAAACACAGGTGTCAGATGGAGGGGTGAGATGAGACAGGTGTCAATGGTGGAAGGAAGTTGGGGCACTTTCCCAGTCTGGAGGTCTGTCAAGAGGGCTAGATGATAATGTCAGTGTCTTATTTGATCTTCCTGGAATTATACGAGAGTTCAGAAACTACTTACCCTCTCTTGGGTTGGCTGGATCAACCTCACATGCTTTAAAAGAAGGGAATGGCCAAGATACAGCTGACTGGAGCAAATGTTGACATTCACCACCTGACTTTTATCTCTCTGATTTTTCACATCACACTTCTCTTTCACTTTTAGTCAATGATGGGCATTCATTTATAATAAGAACAAGGAATTGGTTCCCATTGGCTTACCCCTTAATACCCAGAAGACTAAACATTGAAAGAATGAAAAAGCAAGTGAATATTCAACAAGCATGTTGACTCTTGTGATCTCTGGAATCCTGCCCAATTTTGGCAAGTCTAGAACCACCACATAACACTGAAGACTCAGGCATAAATTGTAAAATGGAGTCTGAATCATGACCAGA